GTTCAGTGGCGACTCTTTTGTTTATTTCCGCCGATTGTTTTTCGCAGTTGCGACACTACCCATAACTTTGTTGGGAAACTGCCTAAAAACTAATAGGTACATCGGAATTTATCGGTTCCCACCGGCGATGAACGCTTCCGTTATCGCAACGACGTCAGAATCAACTAAAAGGCCCAAGCTTCTAAGTCTCTAGCGACGCTGGCAACATCAGAAAATAGTCAAACCACCGCCAGTCACCAACAGTCATCGGAAACAACCCTTACGTTACCCCGTTTCGCCTTAGCCATATACATTCTAAAAAAGCAGAAAGTGAATAAACCTATAACAGAGACCAATTCAAGTACTTACGTGGTCGAGGAAGGAAGTTTAGGGTCGAAGAACTCTGGTCGGTGCATGTACGGTGGTCGGACAATGTTGAACGGCGACGGACAACGGACTGTAGAAGAAGAAAATAAGGGAAGAAAGATAACCGAAAAATGCAGTTTCTCCCTCTATTTATAGACGGTCCATGGGCATGTGCACAAGCACACACGGCTAGGGGCATCATCTCCACCTTATCCTAGCCATCATTACGCATTAAATGCAAAACATGGCTCGAGACACGCGTAACACTTCACCTCTTCAGATCACATCAATCGTTGGGCTCCCCGCCAGGCAACGTTACAAGTTCCCCGGGCATAGATTCCCTCGGGAACCAAGAAATAACCTTATCTCAGCAACAGGCAACGACCGTGTTCAATCCTCCCTGGGACTACAAACTTCCCATAAGTTATCACTCCTATGTTCGAGAGCAATGACTTAGGGGGCTCCTGTTTTAGAATGGCCCAATGGTTAGGCATGACCCAATCCGCTTATGCTCTCAGGACGACCCAATTGCCTAAGTCCATCCAACTTAGGAGAGCTTTTACCTTTCTGCCCTTCCACCAGGGAAGCATGGCCGGTGGACCTCTAGGGTCATTCGCCCCTCCTCAGCAACTCCTATCCGTCATGCACATTTCCATCATCCAGAAATAGCCATGATGTCTGTTCCAGCTACTGCGCCTATGTCCGTAGCAACGACTAATTTTGGGCACCTCTGTCCGCCCCAACGACTAGTTTCTGGCAATTACCTATTCTTAAAGGAACAATTATCTCGCCCCGAAAATAGGGACCAATGGCCAAGCGCTGGAGGCACTATAAAAACCCTCTCATTTGAAAGAGTCAGGTATTCAATAATCATCCTAACACGCACATACTATGTACTCGCATTCTTTTCTCCGAATTCTCACTTTAGCATCAGAGTGCCTTGCAAGTATACCCCATCCTCATTTCTCACACCTAACATCACATACGTTGTCTCTGGCTTACTTCGGATTCTGATCAGTCGGTAAGATCAGGTACCAAAGGTGAAAACTTGATTTATTTTGGAGAAATGATTTAATAAAGTCTTGATGCACTTTAAATGAAGCTATGGAAATCAATTGTATACTTAAGTATCTAATAGAAAGTGTTTCCTAATGACGTTTGATGATTTTATTGCTTGTGATCAAAGTTTTCTCGTTGATGGTGTATTTCAACGAACATGATCAAGGTGTCCTCGTTGAGGGTGTTTTTCAACAATTATGATGATATGTGATAATCATGTAACCTCTTAGTATGTTGAGGCAATAATTTTGTAATGGATTTATCAACTTTGTGGTTTGAAAAAACTCTTGAGTCATATGATTCACATAGAAGCATGATTTACAATTATAGTTTGTCGTTCCCTTAAACGGGCGAGTTTCCCAAGTTAATTTGATGTTTAAGGTATTACACTTTATAGATGTTAAACAATCCGAAAACTATGATTAACCTTATAGAAAGTGGTTTAATAAATGCTTAATTATTTAAAATTATTTTTAATAACCTTTCAATTGAACTTAAAGCAACTTTTAAGAAAAAAATGTGCAACTTAGAAGCAAAGGTGATGCCAAGATTAGTATGCTTAGAATCAAATATCAATACAAGGCCGAACACATCAAGGAGGTTGAAAAGAGGTTGTTAAAATAATTTTTAAAGGGAAATTATTATCTCGTGAAAGGAATTTCAATAAGAAAGAAGTAGATCCCACAAATTCCTCTTGGTCTAAAAAGCTTCAAAGATAATTGTGTTGTGTTCGAGGAAGTCCATTAAAGCGTACTCACCGTTTGATTTCTCATTGATTTTTATTCCAACAAAATAAATAAATATTATTATAACCATAATAATTAAAAGTAAAATCTTTACTATTACTATTATTTATTTAATTAGTTCTAATTTAAATAATAATAACAATTGATACTTTCCCTCCACCCCCTGTCTCAAAATTTTTACTCACACACCTCTAGCCTCTTAAATTTTAACTTTTAAGGATATCACCCTACACGCAAGAGTTCCTCAAACACATCAATTATCACACAACACATACAATTATACAATTTTATTTACGAAAAATTAATTAAATAAATCGGGGCGTTACATGAAGTACCACGATGACAACGAAAAAGATAAAAATAAGGTGATAGAAAGATTCCCCTTAATGTATTCACACTAGTATCGGTAAACCCTTATATACGCCACACTCAATGGATGAAGCTATGAAGAAGGCACCATCAAGTGGTTAAAAATGCTAACTTCAAAAGAAGTAAAAGGTAGGAAAACACTCAGGGTTAAGAAGAGACATTTGTAAAGGGGGATGATGCAACCGCCATACTCATTACATATTCTATCATCCTCAGTAGGGGTGGTGGAACCCCAAAGCGATGGTTCCCCCACTTAAAGAAAAACTTTATCCAGACTACCCTCTTTAGTAAAAATAGACACGGCGGAAGAATGTACAAAGCATTTCCATGAAAAGGAAGAACTCTTTTGTTTTCCTTTCACAATCTTCCGTGATTTTTTTGCCATATTGCACTAACTTTCTCGAACACCGGAAGACAAAATGGCCAAAGAGAAAAATTCAAGCGCTCAAGAAAGAAAAGAAAAAGATCCAAGTGAAAACGAATCAAATTCTTCATAGACTTGTGTCTTGACAATACAAAAAGAAATGGGTATTGTCAACGATTACATCTCTCGCACATAACACTTGAGTATTTAAGTTTCCAAGAATGTTAATAATGACGCCTCTGAATAGGCGTTTGATGTTCCAAAGTAAAAACATGAAGTAAGGGTGCTTGGTAGCGGAGGGTGAAATTCTCAAAACCCTATTGGACCGATCACCATGAGATAACCCGTTTTGGGCCAAAGCCTTTTGACTGACTACACAATCATGTTTCTAGAATCTTCTCCTTACTATAAGACTATCTTATACCTCACTGCATGAGATTTACACCTTAGTCACATCCAATGGTTCTTCGCATTTCACGCCTGAAAGATAGTGAGACCGTTATTCTTCTCCCATATATATATATATATATATATATATATATATATATATATATATATATATATATATATATATATATATATATATATATATATATATATATATATATATATATATATATATATATATATATATATATATATCAAATAACATCATTTTAGGTAATAAATTTTAAACACAATTTTAATACTCTCTAATCTCTCACACATTGATTTGAGAGTCAGAGTGCTAACCTTGCAGATACACCCCCGCTCAACTGCATCGAAAGCTTTACTCTGCCGCAACTTTCACATGTCTCTCTATATCTGGTTCCAGAACGAAATAATAAGCACGTTTCCTATGTTGGCCATAACTATAACAATGAAATGATAACAATGAAACATAAAAAGGAAAATAAATATGGTACACGAAAGAAGCAAAAATAAAGATAATAATTAAAGAAGGTGACTTAGAAGATGCGTTGGACCATGAAATGTATGACCTAAAAAAGAAAAAGATTTGATGAAATGGATGTTGCCAAAGTTCAAAGAAGAAAATCAAAGTGTGTAAAAGAAAATAAATTTGCAGTTTGTGTAAGAGAGAGAAAAGAGTTTTTAAAAATCCAAGCGACCTTTATATAAAGAATCGAGAGAGTAATCAATGGCTCACAATGAAAGAAAATGAAAAGGCAAAAAACAACAGTTGGATTTCGTCTTGGAAATACAATGATATTTGAGTGAAATTAAACATCCTAAGAAGATGCATCACTCCCTAGTTTATAAACCTATGGCCGTGTGTCAAAGGAATCATGCGAAATCAATGATGATACTCATACTTAATGCATTAGTTCCTTTGGTTATCCACACTAGTTGTCAAACTTTTTCTACTTCTCCGAGTAACAACCTCGATGAAGAAAGTCGACCTAACTCTATATAAAAATTATCACTACTACACCACGAGAACTCTTGGGAGAAATTATTCTTGGCCGGACAAAGGTCCAATCAGATAAAACTCATAGCTAATTCAGATTTAAAACATCTCAACCAACCCTCACATATAAATAATCCCAAATGAAGAAAAATGCGTGATTCAAATCCACTATCACTCTCATATTATTCATTATTCTCTTACTTACTTATAAGTTGGAGTGCTAATCTTGCAGATTAACTCCATCTCCCAATACCGAAAGCACAAGTCCACCGCAAACAAACATTACACTATTATTTCACCAATCATTTTCAGTTCTGAACGAAATAGCATCAAATTAAATTACATCATATAATGATTTGTATAATTTAATTTTAAAAGTATTTGTACAAATATCAAAATATAATTAGATAAAATGTGAAAAGAAATCTTTACAAACACATGTATAAATTAAATGCATAGTTAGTCGAAGAAAATAACATTTTTTTAGAAAATAAAAAACTTAAATACTTATGCGGCAAGGCAAGTAAGTCAGGTATATATATTTTAAATGAAATAAGCCCCATGTATCTAACATCCGATAAAAAAAATTGTCCGTAACCCTTTACCCTTTGCTTCAACACCTTCATTCGATTCAGTTCAACCCCGAGCTAGGGCACCGAGTCACATACCTTATTTCTTCACCATTTTCGTTGCGAATCTACCAGCAATCATGGATCAAGTCGATTTCAACGCTCCTCATTCCATGGGAACGACCATCATCGGCGTTACCTACAACGGCGGAGTCGTTCTTGGAGCCGATTCTCGAACCAGCACTGGTACACTCATAAACCCTAATCTAAGTCAATCAATTACACCCTTATAAACATGAAATCGTGGTTGAAATTTGTTCTGTTACTACCTCTAAGTAGATAATTTCTGTTCGATTGATGATTTTTGATATTCTCGTTTGAATGATTTTCGATTTGATCTCTCTTTCAGGAGTTTATGTTGCCAATCGTGCATCTGATAAAATCACACAGCTCACTGACAATGTCTACGTCTGTCGTTCTGGATCGGTATTTTTTCTTCCTTTTGTGGTTATCATTACTAGCTTAAATTTAATGCCATGTTTCTGTTATTTTGAATCTTTATCTGCTGTATGCATGTATTTGCTAGAATTATGCAATTATCTTCCTTGTTCCCACAATTTAGTTAGTTCATAGTTTTTTCGCATAAAGGGTTTGTTACTATTGTTTTCTAAAGATGGCTGATGTTAACAAAAAAAAATGGATGATAATTGAGCTTTTAGTTGTTTGTTCTGTAATTGTAATTCTTTTTTTGGTTGTTATAGCCATGATAGCCCCGATTTATATACCTGGAATTCAACACAAGATTTTATTTTGCATATAGATGCAAATCAATAACGTTATTCTTTTCAGACTGAATATCTAAATGATCAGTGCTCAAAATAGTAGTCTGGGAAACTTCACTGACAGTTCTGCAGTATTTATATACCGAGTGAAATACTTTAATTATTAATAACAATTAGATAATATTGAAAACACAATGTGTTTTTTGAGCCAACTATAAAACAATAAATTACTTTAGCTGGCCATTTTCCTTTGCCACAGTTCATAACGGCAATGCCGGACAAACATAGGAAAATAATAAGAACCCTATTTTCCTGAATCTTTGCTTTATGGTCAAACTAAAAGGAAAGGTTTAAATTACAACTAGAAGACTTGAATTTTGGGCAATTAAGAACCAAATTGGATAAACTTCTCTACAATCAGTTTTTATGAAGGAAAAAAAGCTAAACGAATTTTGATTAATCATAAATTTTTTAATACTAGCTAGCTTCTACGATGAGTTGAAACTTGAAACTTATTTCTGCATTTTATTTTTTTTCAAAAATTCTCCCATTCAATTTATCCATATATAAATATACCTATAAACTTATAGGGATTTTTTTTTTAAAATTTTATAAATGCCTACTTTTTCATAGATGAAGAATCACATACTTTATTTAATCGAGTAACTTCTGCTAATTAGAAACTATTCTAAACGTTCTTCCAATGAAGGAAATGCACGATGAGAATGATGAGGTGAAGAAATCATATATTTCTAACTGCCTAAACTATTTCTTTTTCCAGGCTGCAGATTCTCAGGTTGTCTCTGACTATGTGCGCTACTTCCTCCATCAGCACACGTAAGTGGCTCACACAATTGTATAACTCTAATAGAGCATTTCCTTTTGTACTATGATGTCTTTTTAGACTTTAAATTTTATGCAACTTGTACTGGTCTATTGGATGAGAAAGCGCGTCAGGAAACAGGCCCAAGATTGTGTGAGAGGAAATTTAGAAGGAATAACGTGGTGGCATAGAGAGAAGTGTGATGGGTGAATGCATTTTCTAGGAATATGGTTGAGGAGAGAGGGTATGTAGAGAGTATCATCCTGTTCGTAGCCAGAGAGTTGTAACTTCTTGAGTGGTGCATAGCTTTGCGGTGTAGAAGAATCACCCCCCTTTTGCATTTTCCTTTTCTTATTCAATAATACATAAACATTTTCACCTTTATGTTTTTCTGTCCTTATTTCTATTTCTGTCTATCCGGGCCTTTTGTTTGCAACAATTTTGTTTGTTATTTATGAGGATGTTCACATCACTATCAGTTTTCATTTTATGTAGGATTCAGCTCGGCCAACCTGCCACAGTCAAGGTTGCTGCCAACCTTGTTCGGCTTCTTGCATATAACAACAAGGTTTGATTTTGAGGCTTTTTCTTGTTGATTCGAGTGGTATTGTTGAGTTTCTATCAAATTTCGTAATGCTAGTTGCAATTGTAGATACACTTGTAACTGAAAATATTAATAGGTGACATTATGTCAGAGGGATGGATACTTCTATTGTTACTTGCTAATTATATGTATGTGTATGTATGTCCATAAATATTTTGCTCTGGTTTAAATCTATTCTCACTGGCAGAATAATTTGCAAACCGGGTTAATTGTCGGTGGCTGGGACAAGTACGAAGGTGGTCAAATTTATGGAGTCCCTCTAGGTGGAACAATTGTGCAACAACCGTTTTCTATTGGAGGTATTTGACTGTTAAAAATATGTTTATGTGTACAATCTCATTCTATTTCTCTATTTATGTTCATTTATCGACATGTGTCCTGTTCTCATATAACTGTACTGTGTGTCACTTGCTGAGGTTATGCCTTGGTATTAAGATTAGACATCTGTTAGATTTACGTTTTGTTCCTAAAAATCAGTGATGCATGGAAAACCTTTTTGCTGAAGTTTATTTAGATTGTTTATAGACTTCAAATACATGTAGAAATAAAATAAAATTAAATCCAAGCAATTGCTGATAGACTACTCTCTCGTACGGCCTAATGTGGATGAAAATGATAGAAACCGGTACCAACATACAAATTAATGGTAGAAACTGACTTTTATTTATTGCAGAATATGATTACAACAGAAACATAATTACAAACACTAGTGAGAATACATAATACATACATAAACTAATCCAAGAAGTTTGAGAGTCCTGGTCTCTCCCTCCAAGAATTAGAGAGCTTGGTCTCTCCCACCCAAAATCATTCAATAACTATACCATAATCTGTTTCTCCTATCCTTTCCCTATTTATTCCTAAATAATATAACTACCATAATAACGTCTCATAACTGCCTATGCCCTTAGATGAAGTCTAACAATACCCCCCCCCCCAAAAAAAAAAAATCACCCTGTCCTCAAGGTGAGTGAAATGAAGGGAATTGCTCCATTGATGGTTGCAACTGGTTCTCAAGTGACTTCAAAATCTGAAAATTTTCTATTTCCTTCACCTTTCTTTTCGGTTTCGAAAATCAAATGGAAGCATTGTCTTGTTATGCCCTCCGTGATACACTTCCTCTACGTTCTCGTTCAGATTTTTGAATAGAAATATTTTGTATACTGTTTCAGCCAAGGCTTGTAACTGTTTTCATGTTTCCAAGCGCTCCTTGCGTTGCATCATATTCTGTTCCGGATTTGTCGCCTAGCAAGCAACCTTCAAAACCATACTCTAAAGTCTCAATGTATGATTCTGTTCACCTTAATAATACCACCATTTTCCCATGATCTTACCGCTCTGATACCAGTGATAGAAACCGGTACCAAAATACAAATTAATGGTAGAAACTGACTTTTATTTATGGCAGAATATCTTTACAGCAGACACATAATTACAAACACTATAGAGTACATAATACCCACATAAACTAATCCAGGAAGTTTGAGAGTCTTGGTCTCTCCACCCAAAACCATTCAATAACTATACCCTAATCTGTTTCTCCTATTCTTTCCCTATTTATTCCTAAATAATATAACTACCACAATAACTTCTCATAACCGCCTATAACTGCCCTTAGAAGAAGTCTAACAGAAAAGAAGAGTAAAAGGGTAAATTGTTTGACGTTGCTTTATAATAGTTTTATGATGAGAACCTGATAAATATTTTCCCACATCTTTTTAATGCCAGAGTTTTTTAGAGTGGTAACAAATATTTATGCATAGTTATATTATTGCGAAATAGGCATATGATTGGTTCATTTCTTGAAGGCTTTAGTGAAGAAAGCCTAGAAAAGAGTTCAGATCTTTGAATGGCTTATATCTAACCAGTTAGATAAGGATAGTACAACACAAGGGGACTGTGATTAGCATGAAAGTACAATGTGATGATTCAAATGGTTTCTCTATAACTTAAGTGATTGAATGGAAACATAGCAAAAGCTGTTATAACAGCAAATGAAAGATTAAAAGTAGGAGGAAAACAATCCCAATCTACCCAGAGCCAAGTTCTCCTCAGAGATGGAGAAAGTTCTCTTTGACTAACCATAATGAACATTAATATTCTAGCATAACCATTATATTTAACACACCTCACTAAACAACTAAGCCAGAACAAACTTACTAAGCAGCCTACCCCACTCATTGCTTACCATATATCCTTAACACATCAAATCACATACTCTAAATGAAAATGGAAAAAGAAAAATCAATGAATAATTTAACTGCATTAAAAAACATATTGATTATCAATGAAAAATGCTGTAAATACATGAGACCACTGGGTTAACAAAAAATGATAATAAAAGGTTTACCAAATGAAAATGAAAAAAGAATTATGAATGAAACTAAAGTCACAATTTTTTTGTCAATAAGAAATTAATCCACATTTGTTCTTACCCCTCATTATTTACCATATATCCTTACCACTCACTGTTGCATTATACTCCCAACCCACGGGTCTCTATTAGAAATGTTTGCATGAAATGTCAAATATTTCTATTTAGTTGACTCAACTTCATAGGAAAAGGCTTTTAGTTGTTCTTAGGCTTGTAGAATGGTTGATTCTTACATTGGGAAGGTTGAATGTGAATTTGTTTATGCTTTTTTGATTTGTTTGTCTTTTTGCCAGTCTCGGTTGGGTAATTTGGAATAGCCTAGATTGTTGATCTATGCAAATGTATATATGAGTTTTCTTGTTAAACATCTTATTCTCTTTAACTTTCATTGCTAGCCCTTCAACTGTATCATTCAAATGCATTGCTTCCTTTATTAAGGTGTGTTTTACGTGAGTTTTATTTGATTGCAGGATCTGGGTCCAGTTACTTGTATGGATTTTTCGATCAAGCTTGGAAAGAGGGAATGACCAAGGACGAGGCTGAGGTATGGGTCTCTATTCTTGCAAAGTGAGGTGTCTGTCAGTGACTTTTAGTGGGAGTTAGACAGTTAATTATGTTGGCTGAGATAGATAGAAGAAATAAGACATGAGTATAGGTTGCAATTGGCATGGAGGTTGCAAAATTTCTAAATTCTTAGAGTTTGTATTTGTGTAAAAACCAGAACCTTCAGTTGTTAGGTGAAGAGTGAAGTCAGATACTACTATTATATTAACATGCTCTCCATTACAAATTTCTCTGTTACTGCTGACACTATTTTTATGTACGACAGGAACTAGTGAAAAAGGCAGTTTCACTTGCCATCGCTCGTGACGGTGCTAGTGGTGGAGTTGTCAGAACTGTCATTGTAAGACATCATGTTCAATCATTTCTGTTGTGAAAGCTTTAACTATGCACATTAAATTGACACTGCTTGATTCTGAATCCCTTGTAGATTAACTCAGAGGGAGTGACTAGGAATTTCTACCCAGGCGATCAACTTCCAATATGGCATGACGAACTTGAGGCTCATGACTCACTGCTAGACATAATTGGTGCCCCAGAGCCAATGACCACATGAAGAAGTCACTTTTATAAACAAACTTGCCTGGCTAGATTATGTCCCGTTATCATCCTCTTCACCGAACGTTTTATGGAATTTGTGTAATCAACTAATTATATTGTTCGGTTAGATGTTGTTGGTTACTATATATCCTCGTGTGTACTATGGATAACATCATTTCAACCCATTGGATAAGGAACATCCTGCCGTTGCTTTTTCTTTTTGGAAACTACAAGAACCAGTCGCATGAAAGCAAATGTATTTTCTTAAAAAAAAATTTATCACTGAATTTCCTCTCATCTTAATCAGGGTAAGAAAGTAGTCCAAATAGGTTTCATTATATCCACATTTCAGATTTGAATTATTATTTTAGCATTGTAGATGAGAAACTGATGAGAAATTAATTAGTAGGCAAAAATAAATCATTTTTACATGTTAGTTGTCTAAGTTTAATTTTGTATACAACATAGTCCGTTTTGAAGATTGTTACAAAAAATACACGTGAGTTAAATTATCGGTAACTAAAACTTGTACATTAAACTCAATCCACGAACATGAAAACTTCAGTATAAGAAACACCAATTTCTTCATTCTGGAGTAATTGGGTGAATTTGTGAATACAAAACACTAATTTGTTCCCTACCAGTAGTCTTCTTTAAAATCAAATTGATCCACGAACATGAAAACTTCAGTATAAGAAACACCAATTTCTTCATTCTGGAGTAATTGGGTGAATTTGTGAATACAAAACACTAATTTGTTCCCTACCAGTAGCCAAACATGTTATTGAGGATGCGGATGCTATCTAATGATGTGATTCAAAGAATAAGGTTGAATCAATAATGTTTTGGATTAGTTGGTTGTTAGATTGAATATCAAGATTTCAAAAAAAAAAAAGAGTTTTGGATTTGGATTAATCGGTAAAAAAAATGTTTTGGATTTGGATTACTCGTTTGCAAGATCGAATATTAAAATTAAAAAGAAAAAGTAATGTTTTGGATTTTCTTTTCATGTGGGTAAGTTATTTACCATAATTAAAAATAATGTTAACAAGTTCGTTACAATGAATTAAAATTTGGTGTTTATAGAAAGAGAAATACTGCATGAAAATAAATCTATATTTATATTTTTAGAAAACAATCAATAAAGAATAAAACTTATTTATTTTTAATTGGAATTATAGGGTAGTTTTGATAATGAATAAGAGAAAAAACATTATTTTTAATTTTTATTTAATAAAAATATGGTGATTGACTGTATCTAAAATTACTTATTGTATTTGTGTTTATCTAATAATTCTTAAGTAGAAATGGCATGCTGCTTTGTTTTTACAAAAGGCACACGTGCGATGCAGGCCCGGTAGACGTTCCCCGTTTATTGGTGAAAAGTAGTTACACTCCCGTTTGCATTCGACTCACAGCACAGTTCTAGTTTCGTTTCATTGAGTGTAAAAAGAAGAAAGATGAGCGCTGTGGTGAACACTCTGAATCAGAATCATAGCGTTTTTGTTTATGGATCTCTACTTGCCGATGAGGTTGTCCGTACTATCATAAACCGCGTACCTCAATCCGCACCCGCTACCCTCTCCAACTAGTCAGTACTTGTTCTTACTCTCTCCTTTTTCTTATCCACAAATCAATCAATTATTTAATTTTATTATCATAAAATGCAGCCACAGATTTAAGATCAAAGATCGCGTTTATCCCGCCATCCTCCCCGTCCAGACCAAGAAAGTCGCCGGAAGAGTAACAACGTTCATCATACTTCTTATCAGATTCCGTTGCATTGCAGATTGAAAATCAATTAATTAGTTACTTATTTGTCTTTGTTCAGGTCCTTCTTGACATCTCAGGACCAGAACTCCATCTTTTAGATGAATTCGAAGATGTTGAATACAATAGAACTGAGGTTGAAGTTCTCTTTACGGTAACTAACATTCATATTATTCCCAAAGTCATCGCCATCTTTGATATTTTGTGTTATAATAACTAATTATTTCCGCAGGACAATTCTGAAAATTTCCGAGCTTATGCTTATGTTTGGGCCAATCCGAATGATCCTGACTTGTATTCTGAGTGGGATTTTGAGGTATATCTCAAATCCAAACTAATTGAAATCTATTTCCATGCATCCCCTCTCTATTTCCATGCATCCCCTCCCTATTCAAGAAGAAAATTTTGATTCACTTTGTGATGTTTTGAACTTTGAAGGAATGGAAAAAAACTCACTTGAATGATTTCGTCAAGGTAACTGATGAGTTCATGCAACAGTTGGAATTGCCAGAAACAAAGCAAAGGGTTCAGACTTTTGAAACCTTCTATAAGCAAGAAAACGATAAGCCACTTCACCCTTGATGCTTTGTTCACTTTGCACTATTCTATGATTTTATCAACAATCAGACTATTTTTCTTAATAATAATTGTGTTTCTCTCTTAGAATCATACATTTAAATCTGATTTAATAAGCATATTATTTCTATCTGCTCAAAGAGAGTCTCAGGATTTCTTGTCTTTATTCCTTACTTATGTTGTTTATGATGATGCAAAAAGAATCTCAGGATTTGTTGTCTTGATTCCTTATTTTTGTTGATTATGATGATGCAAAGAGAATCTCAGGATTTGTTGTTTTGAATCCTTATTTTTGTTGTTTATAATGATGCGCACTTGTATAAATTTTTTTGTATTGTCAAAAATAATTTAGAAAAAGGGACACAAAAAACAGCATCATAAGAAATATTCATCCATCACATTCACACATCTTAAACAAAGAGGAAACATTGTAGATACAATGTAGAGAGAAATTTATTATTAACTAACATAATGCTTACACAAATAAGGCGAAATATTTAACTTACAGACCATATAGAACAAACAGAAACACAAGACATAACAAGAAACAAAACAGAAGAGGTGACAATGAGTGAACACAACATGCAAATGGAGAAAAGGTGGAAGCAATACACAGCTTATGGTTTACTAATAAGTTCCTTGTGTGCCTTCTTGTCCTCTAGCCTGAGAGTAATTTCCAGTTCCTTGTGTGGCTTCTTGTGCTCTAGCCTGAGCATAGTTTCCATAATCCTTAGCTCTTTCCTTCACTTCTCTAGCCTTATCAGTAATGAACCCTTTAGCATAATCAAGATTATCGCTACCGGCGGGACGATTACCCGAGACATAGTTGTAAATCCATGACAATGCAGCTATAGCAGCCACACCGCAGCCACCAGAGAACACAAATCCACCAGCAATGAGAGACAGTGTTATTGCAGCTGGAACTAGGATAGGACTGAAGATAACAAGAAGAGGTGTTGCAATGATTAATCCTATGACAGTTCCAACAAGGATGAGTCCAGACAAGAACACCAGTGTGACACCAATTGTAGCAGCTGTTATGAACTTCACTGTTTGGCGTGAAGGTTGACTGAGGCTGGAGGTGTGGATGTCATAGGGGGATCCTCCTCCTCCATAGGAGTAGGAACCTGTTGTTCTTGCATGATGATCAGTCATGGTGGGAAGACAAATTCAGAAAAAAGAAAAGAAACAATTTATGATGTTGTTGTTGAGTTGTTTTGTGTTGTGTGAGAGAGAAGTGTTTGTGATGTAGCATTATTATAAGGGGAACCGATGACAGATTACATGGCAAGAGGTTAAGAAGCATTGTATGTCGTGGCTGCTTTGCATGAAACTGTGTAGGACAAGAAGCAACACCTGTCCCCTTAAATGACCAGTGTCTCTGCTAACACTATTCAAACACAACTGCATCACTTTATGATTATGAAACATGGGAACTTAAATGTTTGGTTAAATGAATTCGTTGCATAATTTTATTACCATAGTTACTGAATAGCATGTATGCTGCTCAAATGTTTTTTTCATAGTAAATTATGATGATGTTAAAATTACTTAGTTTGTATAATATACTAGTTGTTGAATATTTTGTATGCGATTTTTTTATACTTTAAATTATAGAAAAATATTACTAGTGAACTAAAATTGTTCTCTAAAAGCAGTGGAGTAATGTTTCAATGGTTCAAATCGATAAAATTAGAAAAAAGAGAGAGTACTATCTAATTAATATGTATGTTAACCACTAGCAAATGGCAGTAACCAAGTGAATTTTGGTTGTGGATTCTCACTTTAGTGTAGGAAATGGATCCTAACTTTTTTTCTATATCTCTAATAGCTCAATCTCATTTTTTTTTTCTTTTTCTTTTTTCATTTCTTTCATGAAAGATTAAAATTAAGATAAATTAAATGTAGAGATGTTCTAGTTTAGTTAGGTTTTAAGAGAAACTATCGTTAGACGAAGACGACTTATTTAGAGGGGTGAATATATTTTTAATAAAAATTTTGATTACAAAAAATATTTTTCAAAAACATTGGCTAGTGAAAATAACTTGGATTGATTAGTCTAAATCGAATTATTATTGAAAAGTTCGGATATGCGTATGTGAAAACAAATCGGAGATGATGATAAACAACTTTAATCAATAAGTTTTAATCACAATCACTAGAAAGCAACTTAACAAGCATTTCTATTTCTAATGATAAATCAAACAAACACTGTTGTGGCAAATTATTGAACACCTTGAGTGCAATAGAATTAGTTTGGAAATTTATATAGTTTTGTTGACCTTAAAATCCAACCACAATTAAAACGATTATGATCAACTCAACAAAACATTTTCAAAATAATTTATCAAACGAATTAATCATACAAATGATGAACCCAACAATTTGCTAATGAAATGTGTGTGTGTGTGTGTGTGTGAGAGAGAGAGAGAGAGAGAGAGAGAGAGAGAGAGAGAGAGAGAGAGAGAGAGAGAGAGAGAGAGAGAGAGAGAAATTTATTTAGAAAGTTCTTCAATCGGCGTTGCTATGGGTACGTCAGCTCTCAATTCAAATTTGAATTGAGATCATAAAATTAACCTTACTTTGCAAATGTAGTTTACAAGAGAAATGTAGCAATGTAACCATACAAACCCTAAGTTTGATGTTGATCCTAGCAATTTCTCTTTCCTTGATCTGAGCTTGATCAAGTCACCCAACAAGTCCAATTTGATTCACCGTTTAGAGCTGCAACTCTTCAAATCCTTCACTCGATATAATCCAAATTGTAAATTGTTACAACCCAAGATTTACCATGATGATCCACCGTTTCACGCTACTCCTTTGCAAGAACCGTAGCCCTTTAAAGTCTTCACTCGATTGAATCCAAACTTGAGTAATCTTGTCCAAAACCTTCAAATCCACACTTTGATCTTGAAGAAAAATTCCATCTTAGTTTTCTTATTTGAAACTCCCTAAGATCTCAACCAAATTTACAACACCACAAGCTAAATTAGACCTTATCAACTTGGTTCTAGATGAGACTCAAATAATGAATGATTATGTGTACTTTGTTTATGTGTATGCATAAAACCAAGGTTGAAGATGGTGACGACTTTTAGTATGTTCCAGGTTTCGTTTATGATTTTACCAAAATCATTGAAAAGAAATGATGCATGTAGTAAGTATATATATGTGAGCAAGTATGAAACAAAAGGAATGCAAAAGGAATGAAAAACAATGCAATTTTTCAAGATTTATTATGCATAAGTCGAGCTATGCAAGTTATGTGCCGACCTATACAGGTCATGTGTCGACCTGTAGATGCAACACATCCAACAGAGCCTACATGCTTTAATACTGCAGCATATATGTCAACCTGTAGAGCGTATGTATCGACTAGTAGAAGATATTTTCTTCTGTGTGTCAACCTATAACATATTTTTTCCCACAATTTTGATACATAAAATCATTTCTCGATGCATGGATATTTTCTAATCCTTTTCCAACATGTTACCATACTCCCTAATAATAAAATGCACAACTAGACTCAGATAATATGGTCCAATGTACATAAACGCTAGCGATAGTTTTGACATTATTCAAAATACACCTAATAGGAAAATTGCACTCACATACTCCCCATTTTTGATGATGGAAAAACTTGAGTCAATGTGATTCTGTATCCATGAAGGGTTTCCTCTGAATGTATGCATCATAGCTTCATAGCTGCATATATACTTCTCCCTCTTTGACAACATCAAAAATAGACAAAGCAAACACATTAGCAGTATCACATAGATACAACATATCACATATACAATATACCAAAAACAAAGGCAATTGCAAAGTAAAGACAATGCACTCACATATAAGCAACATATATGAAAATACACAATAAAAATTAACATAACACATGTAACAACACCATCAACATTACAAAATATTAATCAAGGCAATACACAAAGTACAACCATTGTTTCATAAGAGTTAATACATAACCAGTAGCAAAAAAAATCAATAAACGAATAATGCATGAGGACTCAACCAAGACTCAAGGAAATGCACATCGAGACATAAGACACAAAGATGTAACAACACAACACTTCATTTTCGTCCACGGCCCCTAAGCATTGGTCTTTCTCCCTTATACCATCCTTGTCCATCATTAAGATAGTGAGAATCCAAGAAGTCACACATTTCTCGACAAAAATCAATCATAATGACCAAAATCCTCTTCTTGGACTGAGATCACATGATTAATCCTAGCAAGAGCAGCTGCATGATTTGCATTCATATCATTACGCATAGACACAAGAATTTCTGTTGCATAAGAGGCAAAGGCTTCAAAATTAGCATATTGTGTAACCATGTGTTCTTGCATCAGATAAAATCTCTTTACCTGAGCAGCCTTAGAGACATCTAGTCGCCTACAATCTTTCACATAGAGCTCATGTTGCCTCAACTGCATGTTCTAGAGCATATTCATGATTGCAAGCGAATCATCAAAACCAACACCAGAAGTATTATCAGGAGCATCCACATAAATGGCATCTTGCATAAAGGCATCACTATTAGTAGCATCATGAAAGGCACCAATTGGTTGATCATCAACCATAGTGTCTTAGCATCATCATCCTCAAACTTTACAGGATCATCAAAATTATAAATCTTCCTACTGTGCTTACCCATACGGAATTAGTACGCTCATATCCCAAAAATAGCCCATGTTGGTGAGCATATGTTGAGAGAGCTCTTGAATTGGAGCTGGAGATTTATTAATAAGATTCGACATACCGATATCGAAGTAGTTGAGAATCTTGGCAATCATGGATACATAGCAAAATGAGGTCCCCTTGTTGCATTCCTTAATGGAGAACGTGCGAGATACAAAGTAGTGTGCCCAATTAATTTGACTTTGTTCATCAGAATATAGGCCAGATGAAGTTCAGCAAAGTCCACTCTTGAGAACCCGCCATTCTTTAGGCGCAAGACATGAGACACTAGCCATAGCAGAATTCTAGGAACCATCTTTAGTTAACCAGTAATGATAGGGTCATAACAGTCATCATGACGAGGAGCTTTAAGTAGATCATTCACATGAATGTTCCACTTAAAGTGCATATGAGTGTTGGTATCTGTCACTAACGAGCCAACATCATCATCGTCATCAACATTAATAATAGTAATACTAAACAAAAACTTCCAAAGATCATTAGTGAACTCAAACGGTGTTACCCATGGTAAATTTGAAGCATGAGCCTTGCCTATCATGTAACCCAGAGTAGAATACACAAATGAGGTATTCATTATAATCCTGAGCCAGCTCCAGGAAGTAATCAATATGTTGATGTGTAACAAAACTCGTAACTTCTAGAATATCCAAGCAACCAACAATAATAGGCTTCCAAACGAATTGTTTCATAACAACTCGATGTTGATGTTTATCCTTAAATTCCTTAATATACCTTGAAACTAACAAGAATGTAGATTCTGAAGCCGTAGAAGATGTAGTTGCATTCCCCTTTCCTTTAGCATCACCCTTGGACTTAGAAAGCTTAGGTGCCATAGAGAATTGAGCTAACAAAGTTTGCACACTAACAGTTTGATAAAAAGTGTGAACAAGAAGTGAAAACGTTTGAGAGATTATTGACTGCTCACAAACTCAACTCAAACCAACAACCTCAAACACACACAAATAACATGTATCATACACACAATATATCACATACCTTTGAAAAATAAACAAGTAAAAGAGGAAACTTACTTACAAAGCGAAAATTAAATGATATTACCTCACCGTACGAATGGCGGAGGATGCACATGCATTCCACAAGGAACTCTCGAATGATAGTTGGAATAATGGAAATATAGACCTATACATAGTCCACCCTATTCCTAACCTGATGTAGTAGAAGTAGCTGATGTCCAACCTGTACTAACTTATGTCCAACCCACTAAACAACAAACTAAGGGCCAACTTGAGATACTTAAGACCCTGCCTGAGATACCTTAAACTGAGATCCTGCTTGAGATGTCTGAACAAAATGCAAAAACTGTTGACAGTGACCTTAATGAACAAAGTGATGATAGTGAATTAGGGTGCAGGTTTGGTGACTCTGATGATGTGGTATTAAATGATGGAATTGATGAGGTCTTGGTAGGAGTGAAAGGGTTTGTTCCTGGCCAAAATGATCAACTTGTGGATGAATTAGAATTGGATTATTCAACTCAAGGAAAAAAAAGAAGGGTGGTAGACCAAAGAAAAAGAAGACCAAAGGAAGTTCTAATAAGAAAAAGGGAAGACCCAAAAACTAAAGGGTGGATGAAGCCATTTTTGTAGATAATGAACCATCAAGTAAGGAAGATACACTTGATTTTAGGTTTGTTGAAATGAGCAAAGGTAAAATGGTAGATAAGGGTTTTCCAGATTCAGATTATATATCTGAAGAGTTGGAAACTGATGAGTATATGAGTAATGATTATTTAGATGAAGGTACTAAGAAAAAATACCCATCATTTGTAATGCCCAAGAAGTTTTTAGACTATAAATGGGTTTCAGGTACCATGTTCTTAACAAGGGAGGAGTTTAAAGATGCAATTTCAAACTATGTTATTAGTAATGGTATAAATTTATACTCTATAAAGAACGATAAGACATAGGTTAGAGTGGGATGCAAGGATGGGTGTGGATTGATTGCATTGTGTTGTAAATTTCCAAATGAGGATACATGGCAACTGAGAAAATTGAATGACATTGACACATGAAATAGGGAGTTTAATGTAAGGATGTTTAACACTAAATGGCTTGAGAAAAAGTTGTATTCAACTGTTAGAGTTAATCCATCTATAAAGCTTACTACAATATGTGAGAAACTGCATGAGAAATATAATACTAGTATGAGTAGGACAAAGGCTTATAGAGCAAGGAAGGCATCACTTAATTATGTTGAAGGTACATTCAAGGAAAACTATCTTAGATTGTATGACTACATACAGGAGTTGCTGAGATCAAATCCAAACAACACAATTAAGTTGAAAGCCCAACCAACTGCGGAAAATGAGCAACAACATGAGAGCTATATTAGCAAACCATTATTTCCAAGTTTTCAGCGACTATATATGTGCCTTGATGTTTGTAAGAGAAGTTTTAAAATTTGTAGACCAATCATTGGAATTGATAGATGTTTTCTCAAGGGCCATTATGGAGGACAAATTCTTAGAGCAATAGGTAGAGACCCTGATGATCAAATGATTCCCATTTCATTAGTTGTGGTTGAAGCAGAGACTAAAGACTCATGGCCTTGGTTCCTTTATTTTCTAGTTTAAGATTTAGATGGTCCAGAAGTTTGCAAACAATTCATATCAGATCAGCAAAAGGCACAATTCACTTTCCTTGAATCATTAGAACTTTACTAACTTGAAATTTATATTTAACTTTGTTTCTATATGTAGAGGGTGTTACTTGCATTAGAAGAGTTGTTTCCAGAAGTTGACCAAATATTCTGTGTAAAACACTTGCACAACAACTTCAGAAAAAGATTTCCTGGCAAGCAGTTGAAGGAAATGATGTGGAGGGCAACCAAGGCAACATATCCTCAAGCATGAGAAAGGGAAATGAAGGAATGAGGAAGGTTAATAAAGAGGCCTACAAATACTTGTTGAAGATTCCTTCTAGGTTTTGAAGTAAGTCTAGGTTTAATTATAACAATAAATGTGATGTGTTGGTAAACAATATGTCAAAAATATTTACTAGTGTTATAATTGGACCAAGAGAAAAGCCTATTGTAACAATTCTAGAGGATGTGAGAGGGTACCTTATGGATAGATGAGCAACAAATAGAACCAAGATTGAAGCTTATAATGGTTATGTACATCCAAGAATTAAAAAGGTTTTGGAAAAACAAACTGAAATATCAAGGCTCTTTATGGTGAGGTAATTCAAGAATTATTGCACTTATTAAAATCTCAGAATTATAATTTATGCCTGCTAACTAACTCATTTCATTTTATTTGTTAACAAGGCTTGTTGGTGAGATGATTTATGAAGTAAGGCACATAAATGTGACAAGAGATATATTCACAGTTGATATCGAGCAAATGCAGTGCTCTTGTAGGAGTTGGATGCTCAATGGAATTCCATGTTACCATGCAATTACATGCATCCAAAGTAAAGTTGAAGACCCTGCATATTACATTCCTCCCATGTATAGTAAGGAGAATTTACCAGGATTGTTATAGACCTATCATATATCTAACCAATGGTGAAAACTTATGGGAAGAGACCCCATACCTCAACATATTAATACAACCATCAATAAGAGCACCAGGGAGGCCTAAGAGAAGAAGAAACAAAGATGTGATGAAAAGAGAAAAGATACAACAACTGTTAGCAGGAAATGGTTGTCAAATAAATGCTCTGTGTGTGGTAAATCTGGCCACAAAAAACCCTCATTCCTTATTGCACCAAGACAACTTGTACAATCTTAAACACAACCAACCCATCTTGAACAATCCCAAACATAACCAACCCAACCTGAACAATCCCAAACACAACCAATCTGATAAACACAATCTCAAACACAACCAACTCCAAGAGTTCAAACTAGACTATCACCAAGAATAACCCAACACACAAATTCACAATCCCAACCACAAGACTTCAAACTAGACTATCACTAAGAAGAACCTAAACCTAATCAACACAACCCCGAACACAACCAAAACTAAGTTGCACAAGGCCAAACATAACTAACCCCTACACCTCAAACAAGTGTATCACCAAGAAAAGTCACTGCAACTTTTCAGAGACTAACCCCTACACTCCAAACAAGGGTATCACCAAGAAGAGGCACTGCAGTATTTCAGGGATCAACTGCAACATTTCAGCCACCAAGAAATACCACACCTAAGCTTCCTATAAGGAGAAAAACCATTAGGATGTTGTCTGTTGTATTTTGGCGAACTAGGATCGTGTATTTGAATGATGTTTTTGTTTTTAGGATTCCATGTGGCTGACTTAGAAATATGTATTTTGGATGATGATTATATGTTTTAGATGGCTACTATGTATTTTGGATGGATACTTTATATATTGTGTTTGGTTTAATGAATGATATTAAGGTTTTATCCCTGTTTTGGTTAATTGACCTTTTATATTTAGTCAAGAATCTTGTGATATTCTATCCAATTTTCAAGTTCATTGTATTTACACTAAACTAAGTTGTAGAACACAGGCCATTGAAGTCTCTTTTAGTGTAACAAATATGCCCTTTAAGTCTTCTTTAGTGTAACAAATATGGGCACAAACTATGTTCTTACTACAACATAAAATTTGGTAGAATCTAACAACATAAAATTGGATACAAAAGTATCCTTTAATTTCAACATCAAATATGGGCATAATATAAACATTATTATTGAAGAAACTCACCGCAACATAACATTAACAAATTGTCTTACAACACTAACATCAACATAAACCATAATCACCACTTATTGATCAAAATACACATCAACATTACAAAACTCATAACTAAGAAAATTATAACAAATACTAACATCTTCAACATGTTCTTCATCATCTCCTTTGTGTGGTAGTCATCTCCATGAGTCATCATCATCTTCTTCAACATGTTGACTTCTGCATCCTTTTCCTCACATTTTGAACATCTCCTTTGTGTGTTGATTTCTATTTTCCCTTCACCATTGCACTCTTTTTCAACCTAGTCAAAATAGTTGCAGCCATAGTTTGAATCTTTACTTTGTTAACATATAACAATTATCATCATCAAATAAAACATAGAAGAAGATAACAATAAACGTACCACAAAGTATCTGCATCCAAAAAATAGCTTCCCAAAATTTCGTCCTTTTTTCCTAAGTGTTCATATAATTGCTTTGGCTACACAAGGACACCTTAGTTCGATTTCACCATGAGTTGCACTCGAAATGAAGGAATGATAGTTTGAACTTCGTGAATTTGAGCCATTTGTAACGTATGAAGTCATTGTTGAAGGAGGGAGAAGATGAACTTGATTGGGAGAGGATGAACACAGTTTTAGGAATTTGATGAAAAAGAAAGTAATTTTGTCTAATTACTGAATGTTATATTAAAAACAATTACATCTTAGAAATGTTACATCCACATAAGCATCATTAGTGATAGCTATGCATTTTTGGAATTGAATCATTAAAAAAAGGTCAATGGTGTAGACGTTATGTTACTTAAAGGAATAATTTGTAGCAAAAAAACTTAAAAGACATTTGGTGTAATTTTGCCAAAAAAAATATATTAAGTGTTAAGTAATGTAGTTATGTCGCTGTTGTTGTTACTAGTCATCATCCATTAAAGGTGGAGATTGTATAGTAATGATTTAGTGAAAAAAAGTGCTAGAAACGAGTTTTTTTTACTAAGGTGCCACACTTTTGAAATTAAATTTCTAATATACTTACTTTAATAATAATAATTCCCATATGCCATAATTTTTGTTTTTCTATTAAAATAATCTCATACAACGACTAAATGGGTGGAAGGGTTTTTCTGTCATGGACTTTTTGACCATTCGCTTTCATTACCTTTTTTTTATTTCAAATTTTAATTATTGTGTAATTATTATTATTATTATTATTATTATTATTATTATTATTATTATTAAATCAACATAAAAATTAATAAAATAATAATTTTTTTTTTATAATTTTAATTGGTCTGTTAAATTAGTTAACTATATTAAAAAAATTATTATAAATAAAAAAGAAATATAATATATTTATAGTCCTTATAAAAAAATATTATTTATGAATATAATTAAGTAGTTACAATGACATTTAAAAAATAAACTAACGATGGGGTGGATGTAGGCGACAATTGATTTCACATTGGGGAGCTTCTGATTGATAAAAACCATGATGATATTGTTGTACAAAAGGAGGAGGAGAAGGAGACAAGGAGAAGGTGGAGCGAATGATGTACGAATAATCAAAAATCCATTTGAATCATTTTGAACCCCCGAAATTAAAATTCATTTCAAAACCACTAGTTGGTGGGATTTGGCAATGAGGTTGTATTGGTGGTTATGATGTTGTGTATTGGTGTTTGGATTTGTAGGATCTTGAGGAAATGATGTGTTATAATAGTGTTATTGGAAATTTGAGTATTCAAAGTTTGATTGAGGGATTAATGTGTATTGTAAGGATGGAGAAAATAAAGTTTGTTGTTGTGGTGTTTGGTAGGTATAGTTTGTTTGTTGAGTTAAAGCGTATTGTGTATGTTTTTGGAAATGGAGGGGTATAGAGATATGGTTGTTGTGTGAGTTGATTGTAGTGGTATGAGTTTGAGTTGTTATTGTATGTTAATGGTTGTGGAAATCGTTGGCTTTTGGTTGTTCGAGTAAGTTGGATGTGATGGAAATTAACATAGAAAGATAAAATCTAATTGAGGAATTAGAGAAATTTAATATTATTTTAATTTTTAGAAAATTCTAAATTCTATTGAATAGTCTTAACTAAAAGAGAAAAGAGTCACACAAAATTGAAATTAATGAGGGATAATAGAAAAGAGAAAATATTTATGTGCTTGATTAGGATACCTCTAGAAAATAAAAATGAAAGAGCAATCTACTAACAACCCTTCAAAATCTTAATGCATGATCTTACATAATTGTCATTCTCCAATATTTTATTTACACTACCAATTGGACAAATTAGTAATCAACAAATGTCACAAATAAGTCTCAACCAAACCTCTATTTGCATGCCAAATGTCAATCAACCATAGGCTACCCCAAATAAAATTATTTCTCCCCATTTCCACCAAAATTAAACCTTCTCTCTCCGGTTCTCTCTCACATCTTCCGTTTTCTATCACTTTCTCCAACGCAAACCCTAAATCTGCCGCTGCCCCCTTTCTCTGTTTTCCTCCACAAACTCTAAATTCGTCGCCGCCCCCTCTCTCCCTTTCTTCGTTGGAATTATATTTTGATAAACTTCTCCGTCGACAATTGTTTCTCCATCTCACTAATTCGTATCACAAGTTTTTCGATTCTAGTTTTTTTATCATCTCTTAATTTTTTTAATTTATATCTACTTCTAATTTATGGTAGTTTATTGTTGTTATTGTTGTTTATTTTGGTATCTCTTTCTGAAGTATATTTAACATCATTTTCTAACTTTACTTCTCATTCATGGTTGATTTGTTGTTGTTTATTTTGTGTCTTGCTGTTTATTTATCAAATTGAAGGTTTATTTTAATTTATTTTTGGTTTTGACTTCTATACTTTTATCACTTATGGTTTGTTGTTGTTTGCTTGATTTTGTGAAGTTCATCGTGTTAGAAAAAAAACAAAGCATAGATAAAAAATAGAAACACAATCACAACACAATTACATAACGTGGAAACTCCAAAATTGAAAAAAAAACCACGACCGTTGTCAATAGACAACAAGAGAATAACACTATGTGAAAATTGTTACAACATATAATATACCCTCACAAATCCAATCCCCCAGTACACCCACACCTTCAAAAACAAATATTTAACTACAACTCACAACACTATAGTACAAGAGTATAAGATGACAAAGAAAGTCAAATACAAGTTTAAATTGCTTTTGACTGTTGCATCTTAGAATGAAATACTTGATCCTATATATAGCCTTTGACCCCCTCTTCCTTCACAAAACTAAGCGACGTGGGATTTCAAAGAATTTGTATCCTATATATAGCCTTGGACTCTATCTTAATCCATAAAACTAAGTGACATAAGACTTCTTCGACATGTATATTATCAAACAACCCCAACAGTCTCCACCTTGATTAAAATTATGCATAAGCTTTCATTATCTTCACCAATAATCATACTCCACCATAAAAAGTACCAACATATATATTTTCAACCAACCCTAACAATCTCCACCTTGATTGAAAATAATACAAAAACTTTCATTGTCTTCACCAACAATTATACTCCACCATAAAGAGTATAGTCACTTGAAGCTACACCACTCCAAGAATTTTCACATTGTCTTAACCGACAATCATAGTTTTAAAAACTATCATACTCTCTCATGAAAAATATATTTTACTTGAATATAAACCATTTAAATAATTTCACATTGTCATTACTAAAAATCATATATTTTATCAGGAAAAATAAATTTCACTTGAAGCTAAACCACTTAAAAAAATTTCACATGTCGAAAACTAGGTTGAAACTTTATGGTGCAATTTTCTTGTTGGCA